CTGCGTCTACTGTATGTTAACCATAGAACTCCCAAGTTTCACACCTCAGATATCGTTACAATTAATACTATTTCTTTTGTGCAAAAAGTGTACAGAAAATTATTTATTCTCGTACGCATGAATCTTTTTTTAGAAGAATTAGCTCATTGATTAATTGTAAGTTAAAGATCAGTTAGAAAATAGAAGTTCAAATATAACGAGCTGGAGCAACTTATTTTAAATGTAAAAATTATATTGGTAGGAAACACTCTATATTACTTCGTCATTCGTACGGAAGAATCAGATTCAGATTGAACACCAGTCTACTTTCAAAACACGTGTAAATGAAAATAAATTCAAGCAAATGTACGTGTTTGTCTCGTTTACGATGTATAATATACTAAAACGGAGTAAAATTAATATATATAAAAAAAAAAAAATTCTTTCAAGAAGTAAATAACAGCTCGAGATGTATAGAAGTTCTAGAAGGTTAATACTTGACAGATTCTTCGGTGTACGTAAAGCATCGTCAAATTTCTACCCACTTTCGAAATAAATATCGTATCTCTCCCAAGACTTTTGAGCGGGGGTGTATTCGCTAGGACAGTCTTTCCCAGAAAGATTTCTAAAATACTTTGTCTCTGCAAGCGCTGCTATGGACGACTCCATACCTAATCGGTGGGAAATCCTTAACGAGTTATTTTCCGGATTGTAGAACGTCAGTATCTCGTGCTTCGTTTCCTGTACAAGGACGTTCAGCCAGACGGACAGGTTCGTTCCGATCATGTGCATCAGCCCGAAACGCGCGACCACTCGATGACGGTAGACTTTCATTTGCTGTCAAAGAGAACAGAGATTAAGAGGCTGAACTGGCTGGAGAGGGACGAGAGACTCGGATTGGCGAATCGGTTCAAGAGAAAAAGCGAAAGATCCTCGAAGCATGACACGCAGAGGAGAATCGCAAACGTTATCGATCGGACGAAACGTCCGACGGAGAATAATTCAACAATTGTCAGAGCTGGTCTGCTTTACTTTCTTCTTTTTCTTTTTTTTTTTTTTTTT